ATATATATATATATATATATGTGTGTGTGTGTGTGTGTGTGTACATGTGTATGTATATGTAAACGTATATAAAGAGTGAAGTTTATAAATTTATTGAAAGATATATTTACATCAATCTTATTTAGAAATTCTATTATAAAATATGTTTTTAAATAAGTTATGATCATGAATGTCTTACTAAATCTTAAATATGTTTATATCATATAAAAAAATTTGACTCGATTTTTATAAAACTTAACATATATCTATTTTTTTTTTCTATTTTTTAATATAAATTATTATAAAGTAGTACTTTAAACAAGTTTGTAAGTTAGGTTAGACTTTTATATAAATTAAGTTAGATTTTTTATAAAAAAAAACCTATGACAAATGTATATAGAGGCTTAAACAATGTATTTTTAACCAAGGTCAAATTTAGCCTAAACTCAACACAACATATATCTACTCTTACCCCTACCACTCATCTCATAATGAATTTCTCTGACATTTATTTATATCCATATATGTTTGGAGATATTTGTTAAGGTGTAAAATTTTAAAAATAAAAAAACAAGAAAAAAGATAAAATTTAATAAATATTTTTAAAACATATTTATATTAACAAATAACTTCTGTAACGTGTATTTGTAATAAAATTAAATGATTTTGAAATATATATTTATGTATAAAAAAACTAAATTAATTTACTATATTCAAATATTTAAAGTGTGAAAGTTACGAGTGCAAGTATTTCATTTCTCTTTCTCGTCCCATGTCATGTCCCATTTATAAGTAGATATATTTATTTAATTATTTATTTTTTAACTTAACGAGTTTTATTTATGAACATTCATGAATACGATTTTCTTTTTATTATTTTTATTAGAGAAAAATTTTATAAAATGAAATGTGTTTTTAAAAATAATTTTGTAAAAATTAGCAACAATAGCTATCTGTGTGTTTCGTTGCATTTGACATTCGTACGAAATAAAGTAACTCAATATGGCAATTTGGCCATTTTGGTAAACAAAGACCAAGTATTATTGGGAGAGAAAAAAAAACACAATTGACTTTGAATGATAGCACGGATAATTCGTGAAATACACTAAAATGACCGGGACAGCAGGTTTTTATCGGAAGAAAATAAAATAAAATGATTTAAATATTTTTTCCCCTCAAATTTAGGTTATATTTATTTTTTATTCTTCAAACTTAAAATTGTTATTTCTATATATATATCATGCAGGTTTTACAGAAGAAAATAAAATAAAATTTATTAATTTTTTTTTTTTGGTGAAGACTATAGAGTAACGAAAAACGGATACGGGTGCCGGAAAATAGTCACAAAGGTGGTTCCGGAGGTATCCAACAATAGAAAAATAAATTTAAGAAAATAAATAATAGTCTGGTTAATTATAAATAAATAAAAAATGACAAAAAAGTTACAAAGTCAGGTATTTGGTAAATCATGTCAGTCAACCAATTTTTTAATATTATATTTGACGGTCATGATATGTGTTTCATTTATATCCGACGGTCATGATATGTTTTCATCCATGAGGCATCTAATTAAGAGCTTTATGATATATTAAAAGGTATTTCTAAGAGTTATTCATTAATAAAATATTATAAAATAGTGTATAATTATTTAAAAAAAATTAATTTTTTTTATATTTAGAGATATAATAGTCTATTAAAAAATAAAAGCTAAAAAACGGTTACATCTTCTATATTACCTTTATAATAGTTATAGATAAATAGGATAAGACAAGATGGATCAATTAATAAAATATAATTCCCTGTCAAGGATTATTATACTCAAAAAACATTTTCATATTTATGTATTTTATGTTACAACATCTAACTTTAGTTGTACTAACAAGTTCCAACATAATTAATAAATAATTAAAATTTTCAAGCAGGTTAAGAATAGTTCAATTCTCTAATCATATAACATAAAAATAATTTTATGTCACAAAATATTAGTTTCACAATATTCTTGGTACAAATAGAAAAAATCTAACGGTAGTTGTACGTTACCATGCTTTGTTAGGATATACTCTATTTCTTTAAACTATGGATCAAATTCGACGGCTTATTAATAAAAAAAAAAGCTAGTAATAAGTGAAAGGACAATTTCATTAGCATGTGTATTTGGACCAAACTTAATTTTATATATATATATATAT